GAAATAGGCAAATAAAAATATGTTGGGCCTGGGTGTAGTGGAGCAGGCCTGTCATCGGGTAACTCTGGAGAGAGACTGAGGCAGGAGAATCACAAGTTCCAGTGCAGTCTGGCAACTTAGTGACCCTGTGAAACCCTTAGAAAAAAGAGATGATATTCACCGTAGTTAGCCATTAGAGAAATACAATTTAAAACCACAATGCTATATCACCCGAACCTACTTGAATTGCTAACATGAAAAATCCCAGTGACCTAACACAAGAGTGGATGACAAGAATTCAGGCCTGTCATATACTGCTGGTGAAGAAGTCCATTTCCTGGTTTTAATATCACCCTATTATTTCTGCAAACGGCCAACATTGGGTGAAGCTGGGTAAGGAGTGCATGGAACATCTCATTCCTCAAGTACCTGTGAGTCCATAATCATTTCAACACAAAATCATTTTGAAAAAGCAGTAATAACATCTGACTTATAGAAGGTATACATCTGAAATATAGACAGATAAGTTGAGTACAAGAAATGAAAAAGTTACAACATGCAAAGTTTAATCATAAGAAAATTGGTGTAAATGTATTAATATGAGAAAAGGCAGCCTCCGAGATAAAAGATATGATAGTAAACCAAGAAAGACATTGCACAATGAGAAAGGGAGAAATTTTCCAGGAATACAAAACAACCATTCTCATGCAAAAAAGGTAGAATATAAAAATTCATGAAGCTAAACCGACAGCTTCACTATAGTTTGAATAAACATCTCTAGGCAATACTGATCATATGCAACAAAGAATTCATCCAGGATCGGGCTGGGGATTTAGCTCAGTGGTTTCGCTGCCTGCTGTGCAAGCACAAGGACCTGAGTTCGATCCCCGGTACTAAAAAAAACAAAAACAAAAGAATTCATCCAGGATAAAAGCTGAGAATGCAAGTCTCAAAGACCCCAAAATGGAAGACCATAATAATCATTAAAGCCAACTCAGGCAGAAACACGTTATATGAATTTTACATGTCCTTACCTTGCAAGTACCAAATGCCAGTTTATCTGTTTATTCACCAAGCAGACCAGGCCATCAGGGAGCAAAAAAGGTGCAGGGCTGGGCCGGGGATTTAGCTCAGTGGTTTCGATGCCTGCTGCACAAGCGCAAGGACCCGAGTTCGATCCCTGGTACCAAAAAAAAAAAAAAAAGGTACAAAAGGTGCAGGGCTGAAACCAACCACAACAGTTTAGCTTGCTTAGAATCTAAGCATGAAAGCCACACACAAGGAGGTAAATATTATAAATAGCACATGTATCTACAGGGAGAGATACAGATTTTTTTTCTCCCCTCAGAATAAAAAATATGAATGTTAGAAAACCCTAAATCGAAAGTTACTAACTTCATATCTGAAATTTTACCACGGACATTTCTCTATTTCTAGAAAACAGAGTTTCAAAGGTATAAATGTAATGTCCCTTCTAAGAAAATGCCAGGGCACAGCACAGTAGCTCACACACATAATCCTAGCTACTTGGGAGGCTGGGGCAGGAGGATCACAAGTTCAAGGAGCCCCCAATACCAAAAAAAAAAGCCCTATTAGGGCCGGGGATTTAGCTCAGTGGTTTCGCCGCCTGCTGCAAAAGCACAAAGACCCAAGTTCAATCCCTGGTACCAAAAAAACCAAAAAAAATCCCCAACAAGTTCAAAGCCAGCCTGGGCAACTTAGCATGACCCTGTGTAAAAAGAAAACCGTTTTTTAAGATTGTTTTTAAAGGCTGAGAATGCAGCTCAGTAACAGACAGCCTGCCCTGCAGGCACGAGGCCAGCATTGGGGGAAAAAGAAGTTATCTAGGATACCAATTACAGAACAAAGAGAGCTTATACCTACAACCACCTCAAAATTCTGGCTCAACCTCAACCAACACAAATTCTAGTTTGGAGTTAAACACACAAAAAAGAGAAATTTCCAAGCACCAGTGATGAAAAGATAACTGAAAGCTAGAACTAGGCAAGAGAAAAGACAACATCCGAAAAAAGGCCTTGGTAGATAGGAGAAGAGAGGAGCAGCTGGGCCAGGAGGACAGGGCTGAGTGGGGCCCTCCCAGGGGAGGCTGCCCAAGGGCCACTCCAGCAACGAAGGACAAGGAACGCCTCACCAGGGTCCAGAGCCTCCCAGGCCTCTCATCTCTGCCTAGAACCTCAGGCTATGCAAGATGGAAATGAAATTGCCTATAAAAAATCAAGAGCCCATACCTGCACTGTATACAAGGGGGGATGATATGGGAATACTCACACCTAAGATCACCACAAACAGTCCACAAAAGACAGAGGGAAACTGCATATGCGAGATAAGTGAGGTAGGAGACACAAGAAACTTGAGGACTGACACCCGAAGAGATCAAGAAAATAGATGGAAAAGAAGACTAAAGAAAATGATCACATGAAAGGAAGGCAAAAATACATTGCAGAAATCAGAAAACACAAAATACTAGCTTGGGGTGGTGGCACAGGCCTGTAACCCCAGCACGCAGGAGGCTGAGGCAGGAGGATCGCTGAAAATTCAGG